ATAACTATTAAGGTCAAGAAAAGCCCTGAGCACTTAAAGGGCAGAATTTCCTCTTTAGGCAGCACCACCTTATCACTGACAGGTATCATAAGCAACAAATGACCGTTGAAGCTGAATTTGGAATCTCTAAGATACACACCACATTGATGGGTAGCACAGACATTCCTCCAGCTAGAAGTTAGATTAGGGTGGGAGGAAAGGTAGCAATGAGATCAGTAACAGTGTCTTCTCATAACCCATGAGAGGACAGCACACATAAAATCACTGTCCAGAAAATGAATAGATGTATGTGAAATGAGAACACTTTAAAATGGACTGAAATCAAAGTCACGGACAACTTCCATTATTATTTGCAATTGGTGGGAAAGCATCTCGCTCCCAATAGGATAGGGAGGTTTCTTTGTTTAAGGCCAGGCTGGATGAGGCTTTGAGCAACCTGGTCTAGTGGAAGGTGTCCCTGCTGATGGCAGGGGGGTTGGAACTAGATGATATTTAAGGTCCCTTCCAACTCAAACCATTCTATGATTCTATGATTCAACCGCATTTGAGTAACTAACAAAAGAAGAAAGCACAAATACTAGAGAGAGAATTGTTCTTACATGCTTCCTAATCAAAGGAGAGAGGCTGCTTAACAGTTACTCACTGGAGATAGCGATTCAGCTCTTGCTGGCTGCAACGAGACCAGTGGAAGCGATGAAAGGCGGCTTGCACGAGGGGGGCCATGATGCTCCCCAGACGGACTTCGTCCCCACATCTGTTCCCTTGGCCGTCGTGCTCCATGCCTAAACTGCCCCACAGAGAAGAGAGCCAGCAGGGTTACATCACAGGTGAACTCTGAGTGCCCAAGTGACACCCCAAATGTCTGAGTGCCCAAGTGACATCCCAATATATCACTAGTGGTTGATTACAACAAGGTTCTTACGTCCCATGACCTTTGTCCATATCAGCAAAGTAATGAGAAGTGAGACAGGGTGAGACTGAAGCTGAAGAGCTGGTCTGGAGTCACTCCCACACAGAAGTATTGACCCCTGAGAGTACTTTCATGTGATTAGCTTAATCCACTTTCAATATAGACTAAAAATGCCTTCTTTGGACTTCTGTGCACACCCACATTTGTGAATTACTGCAGATAAATGAATCAGTTTTTGGATTAAAGATCTATTGCACCCTCCAGGAGTATTAACAGAAATTTATTCATACTCCAATCTGGAGCTATTCAGGAGTTTATCTAATTTTTAAAAAACTACACCTTAGCTTAATTTGAAGTAATTTGCAATTGTAGACAAGTCCTTTGCATGGAAAATAAAAGATGCCACACTGATGCTAGTTTAGACTAGCTGCTGCTATTGCCCAGTAGCAATTCTCCATTGTTTAGATGTGAAACAGCCTGGAAAGAGTTGGGTGCTTTCTAGAAAATTACCCCAAGTTACAGATACTTTAGATTTTATTTTTTGACTAACATGGGCAATATCTATCCAGAACTTAAACCAAATTAACAGATTGGGGCTGAATGTGATTTGAGGGATTACAAACATTCTTCAGCAGTATCTCTTTTAAAGCTCACTGTATATTCTTTTTAATCCTAATTAAAAAATTCTGGAATTAAATACCATCTGGGTATCAATTCTATGTCCCTGGCTAATTAAGATACATTTACAGTGAGATTCAATAAACTTTAGCATTTTTTTGTTTAAAGCCCTTAATAATTCTGATACAACAAAGAGAAAAGGGCCTGAAGGCATTCTTAGGGAAAACAGAATAGATTGAAACTGTTCAGAAAAAGCCTTCTGGGAACTGTTGTTCTACCAAAGAGAAAATGGGAAATCAGTGGGTGTTCTCTGCAAACAGGGAAACTAAAATGCTCTGGGAGAAACCAAAGCTCTGACAACTGCTGCCTGGTCACTGGCTCTAATCACATCAATAAGTAAAATGATTGTGTTTTTTATATGAAATATCTAGAACAGTTGTAGCCTCAGTGCTTGGCACCCCGTTTCTATACAGTGTTGTATCCTTTACCAGCAGTAACATATGTAGATGATGGGCTTATTTAATATGGATTGTTTTCAAGAATCATGTATTCCACTGACTCAATGAATTCATATTTCAGCATTATAAGTACTTTACATTTCCACCAGGAGACTATAATACATCATTCAATCTACTCTCAAAGCAGCCCTGGAAACTATTTTGGTATTAGTTCCTTTTTCCATTTGAAAATACCAAAATACAAAGCTTATTTAAGACTGTAAAGAAAGCCTTGAGAGAGCTGAGATCTGAAGCCAAGGCTAGCCCTGAATATTGTTTCTTAACATAAACTGCATCTTTCCAATGTCATCGATATTTGTCAGCATCAATGACATTATAAGGTCAGACACAGAACGTCCACACTGCTACTCACACATGTCCAGTTTCATGAGCCACCACAAATGCTGATGAAAAGCCATCCTCATGGTTGAGAGTGCAGCTTCGAACAGGATGACACATTCCAGTGACTGGAGCATAGCCTGTGAGAAATACCCGGTGTTGCAGAAAATGAACAAGTATGGAAAGGTGATGTGGTAAGAAGCTCTAGGACAAGCATCTGTCTTCTCTTGTAACACAAACATAGTTGAAGTGGTCCTCTCAGGAGACTTCTGCTCCTGAACATTTAATAATGTGCTCCCTCGTCTACAAAACAGCTGAAACCAGACTGTTGAATGAATTAAAACTATGTTCCTGGCTCATCAAAAAACACATTGTCACCTCTGCAACCATCCTGCAACTGCCTTCTCCAAGCGCATGAGGCAACAGGGGAAAGGACACCGTGTGCTGCTGTGTCACAGCTCACAAGGAGCTCTGTGCAGTTCCAGCCCTCAGGGAACATGTGAGCAAAAGCCCAGCCCTGTGCTGACAGCAAATCTGGACAACCCAAAAGAAATGGAAAAACTCTGAGATTCATCCCCTCCCGTGAACAAATCTGATCTCACAGGAGGCAGAGTCCTGCAAAAAGGAAAAAGTGGACAGTACTTGGCCTTCCCATTCTACACCTCGCTGTTACAATATTTCTTGGCAGTCCTGCTGGAACATGGCAACAGCTTTGGAGACTTTTTAAACACAAAATCAGTTCTTTAATCTTTGGGCATTTTCAGGGCTGTTTACATAGGGATCCCATTTGCTTGGCTTCAGCAAGAGCAAAGAAATGATCCAATAAACAACCCCACCAGTAAGAAGAGGTAAAATAATAAGTGAAACAGTTACAACTGAAAATGGCTGTGTGCAGAGGTCCTGGGGAGAGAAAACATTGACCAAAACTAAGCAAAAGATAGATAAACAACTCAACTTTGCACCACTACCCTTGCTAAGTGCTAAACACAAATGCTGCTCAGAAGTCTTGACATTTACAAAACAAAACCTGATGAACTTCTTACCTTGCATGCCAGATGGACCAAAATCCTGCCTTGTGAGAAAGATAGCATGGTCGTGATATTCTGCGTGCCCAGTGTCAGGTTTCTGTTGCAAATAGGCCCAGCGACACACATTTTCCAGACTTTGTGAAGGGTTTCCAATCTCTATCAGACTCATGGACTGCACATGCCCAGGAAAAAAAAGACACCAATAGTTATTTATTAAAAGCCTGGGTCATTTTTTTCCCCAACTTGTTCAGGCACTTGACTAAACATCTCATTTCTATTAAAAGTCTGTTCTTAATGAAGAGATAATTACACTTCAGAAACACTTTTTACTGGATGAAGAAAGTAAGAATATAGCTAAAGTTAGAATAAATATAGCAGTTAGAATAAATGCAATTTCTGCATTTAATGAAGTTCAAGATCTAACAAAATAAAAATATGTAACAGAAGAAAAATATGCATCTTTTAATGAACAAACTGATATTGTATTGTACACTGTGTGTTATTATTTCTATGCCACCCTGGCACCAGCTTGCACCACCACTTCCAGTCTGGATACACAGCTTCTGATGGAGCCCGTGGCCCTATTGGAACTGCAGCAGCTCTTGGCCAGTGGAGAGTAACCCAGCGTGGGAAGGGTAACACCTCATGGCCAAGGGGAGCAAATGGCAGCAAGAGCAGACAGCCAGCACCCTGCCCTGGTTCATCATCACTTTTGTCGTGAAACCAAGCTGTTAGTTAGGGCTGTTTTGTCAGACCTTTGAACACTACTGGATGACCTAGGAAGTGTAAAAACTGAGCGTGCTGTTTTCAGCTGTGTACTGTCAGAAATGGACTTTCCCAATGACTGTCTTTTAAAGTGAATTTTTATTAACTCATTCCACATCTGAAGATCATTCAGAAGCCAGCACACCTAACTTCCCACTGTGGTACACCATTTTCTCTATGAACCACACATTACATGGGTTGTGTGTCAACATGGCTTAGCCAACTCAAATGAGCTAACGTGCTAGAAGATGTGCAAAGGACAACTCTTTTGTACAAGAAAGATATTTTAAAATCCAACTATTACATCTGCCTTTTTTTTATATAGTACTTTCTTAAGAATTCCCAGCTAATTCTACTTAATACTGTGCATTGCTAAGACTTAGGAAAGCTTATTGCATGTGGGATGCTATAAAATGTATGACTAATTGACCCATCCCAGGCCTTCCAGGATTTGTAAGAACTACATATGTGAATCCTGGCTTTTCATTTGCAAAAAATATATTACCATGACAACACTGTAATCATAACACAAACCACTACAATTTAGATGCTATACTGTACTGTAAGCATTTGTCATTCCAAAATACTTAATGTAGAGCAAAACCTATCCTGGGCCAAAAATAAAGAGAGAAGTACTATAGTTCGTGTTTCAATACTGATGTATTTGACATAACCTCTAGTTGAGTGCATGATGGAGTACATAGGGTATTGACTACATGAAAAAGAAAATCCTCAAAGGGTTGGGGAAGAACAACTGGAACTGATAAATGAAGAGTCTGCCAAACTGAGGACTGATTTTGGCAAAATTGGGATATTAAAATTCTGCAAATGTTCAGAAAAACAAATTAATAAACCAAATAGAGGCACAGTTTGGATTCTGATACTGCTGTGGAATGAAAAAGTTGTAATATAATCCTGCACTAGATCATACTGTTTCCAGTCATAATTCCCTTGGAAATTGAACTCACAACTGTATTAAAATGGTGGGACCCTTGTGGTGCCATTATTGTATCTTCATATATTTATAAGAACAAACTTAAACAAATTTTGATTTACTATAACAGAGTAAATCCTGGGTCTTCAAGCAAAAATCCTCTTCAGTTAAACAAGGCTTGACCATTGTTGAAAACTTTAATAACTTCCATCAGTGGTAAAATAAAAACAAATAAACAAACAATCGACTTCATCTCCACCTTGTTCTCATTTCTCCAGTGCTTCACAAGAGAAATCAATCCTTTCAAGGAGCTTAGTGAGAAGTCTTACTGCTAGATTCAAAAAGCAAAGAATATTGTAAAATGAAGTTGAAAAATCTCAGATTGTGTATCATTTACTAATATTTCTGTGTCTCATAATGACCTCCTTCTGTACATTTTACCAAATAAAAATCAGCACATTTTATAAGATGCATCGATCAGAAAACAAAAAAAAAACCAACCCAATGCACTATCAACATATCCTTTGTTTAAGGGAATCCAAATATTTGCAAAGAAATCTCTGTAAACAAGCACAGAATATGTAAACCCCAATAAATTCTAAATAACTGTTGTTTTATAGCTTTCCTCTGTCATATGTCACCTCTTCCCTATCCCCTAAACTGAAACGTTTGCAGCGGACCCCAGCACAGAAGCAAAAGACCAGTCTGTGAATGAACTAACACAGCAGTTTGCAGCACTTCTCTGACAAGCATCGAGTCTGCCAGAGACCAGGCTCAGGCACTGTGTTGGCATCTGGCATGAGCTGACAACCGTTTTCACTGTACACCTAAGTCCACTCTGAGAGCAAAACCACTAGTTCAATCCAAGAGCATCTCAAAGGCTATTTATCAAAACAGAGTTTGTCTTCCAGCAAACAAAAGAAGAACCAACTGGTTAATGTGGAACATTGTGGGGGTTTTTGCACCCAATGCAATGGGGAAAATGAAGAAAATCCCTTTGGCATAGGAGAAGAAACTGTGAACACACAAGTCTATAAAACATATTTCATCTGACAGCCTGACTTCTTTGCCCATGACACAATTCTACATCAGAAACGTGGCACATGTGAAACTGAACCTTACTGCTCTTTAAGTTGGGAAATGAGGTATCCAGAAGGAAGCCAATTATTTTAAGAGTCCATGTGCTAGAGATATAAATAGCAAGTCAAGGCCTTGTGTCAGTGAGGAGGACTTCCAAAGAGTAAGAGGAAAAACCAATCTACCTGCTGAGTACACAAATCACCTGTCCACTAATCTCTTGTCTTTCTTCACTGTAACGCAGCAGCCTGAAAAGAGAAATCCTCTTGATTCCTAGCAAATTTTCATATGAATTCCCACTCTCTGCAATTTGTCAAGGACTTCCAAATCAGAAAGGCTCCAACAGTACTAACAGAGAATACTGCATGGCCAGGGAACCACCAGTCTGGGGTCTGAGTCAACCTCACCATGCTACACAACTGCAATGGTTCAGACCAAAGAACCACGTAAGCCATGGTCCTCTCCTGTAGTAGAGGCAATGGGATGCTCAGGAAAGGGAATTAGAGGAGTGCAAGTATAGCATAGTATTTGTCTCCAAATAACCTGCTCCAAGGCTCCAGTGGTCTTCTGATCAGAGATTTCCTGAGCCAGACATGTCTTTATATTGCATTTTATTCACTTTTTGAGCTGTCTCACCTTTAAATGTTGCTGTTCTGCAAGAAAGGAGCTTAGGAAATCATGGGACCAGGCACAACTTGTTACTAGACAGGGCAGATGTAATATGTTTTGGAAGGATATTGTCCAAAAATTTACTCCTGTAGAGATATCAGATAACACTTGATAATATTTTCTGTTGGAAGTCAATGGGGAGCTTTCATCAGACTCGGAAAAGGCCAGTTCCCTATTAAATGGACAAAGCAAAAGGAGAAAGAGGAAAACAGATGAACCGTACACAGTAATATGGACTATAAGTAAAGTTAAAATCCCTCTTTGTCAGACATCAAACAGAGAAAGTTTGGGGACTAGGAGGCTGCATATGGAGAAGAGGTGTAGGTGTTACTGTTGGCCAGCAAAGGGCCCACACTGCCAGGAACATGCAGGTCCTGCAGCTGGCTAGGAGCTCAGACCTGGCTGGGAAGGATCTCTTTCCAAACAGGACAGCAGGCCTGTGGAGAGCATTACTCAGCTGATCA